TCGCTCCCTCATTCCCTCATTCCCTCTGTCCCTCTCCCTCCCCCTTTCCTCCCCTGTGTGTCTTTTTAATATGTGGAGCTTTGGTTTTTGGCAGGATTCAGTTGTGTGTTGACGAGTCACAGCATTTCTCTATCTCACTCTATAATATAATGTAATAATATATATTAGAGGCCTTCACGGGTCCAAAATGTTGGACCCGTTCCGAAATGGACCTGGGGCTTTCCCATCCGGACACGATATGCATAAATACATATTTTAAACATAGAAACCCATTCCGAACGGACCCGTGGACAATTACACCCGTTCTTATAGACCTGGTTAACCGGAGCTGATAAAGCGCGAGGAAGAGGAGGTAGAGAGAGGTGACGCTCTAGCAGGGGCCGTGCTATGTGTGTAGGCTACTCTGAGCGAGTGACACGGGGAACAGGGAGGAGGGAGGGAGAGATGAGAGACCGCAATCAACCAAGCCGACTTGCGCTATATTACACAAATAGCTGCCATAGCTAGGTTATTTATTATCCAATATGATTACTTAGTACCAGTCTTGACTGCATCAAATCGTGAGAAGCTAGTTAAGCTAGCTAGCTGGCTAGGCTAATTGAGGTTGGATGCGCGTTCTCGTCCTACACAATTACAAACAACAACAATTCCATTTAGAATATAAAGTAGCAGCCTACTTGTTGGCTCTTGGTCGATGTAGCCTGTCTTTGTCCTTTAACTTTAAATTCCATCATTTTAATTCCATCTTCCATTGATTAGATACACTAGATTACCAAAAGTATGTGGACACCTGCTTGTCGAACATCTCATTTCAAAATCATGGGCATTAATATGGAGCTGGTCCAACTTTCCTGCTATAACAGTCTCCACTCTTCTGGGAAGGCTTTCCACTAGATGTTGGAACATTGCTGCGGGGACTTGCTTCCACTCAGCCACAAGAGCTTTAGCGAGGTCGGGGCAATTAGGCCTGGCTCACAGTCTGTGTTCTAAATCATCCCAAAGGTGTTTGATGGGGTTGAGGTCAGGGCTCTGTGCAGGCCAGTCAAGTTCTTCCACACCGCTCTTGACAAACCATTTCTGTATGGACATCGCTTTGTGCACGGGGGCATTGTCATGCTGAAACAGGAAAGGGCCTTCCGCAAACTGTTGCCACAAAGTTGGAGGCACAGAATCGTCTAGAATGTCATTGTATGCTGTAGCGTTAAGATTTCCCTTCATTGGAACTAAGGGGCCTAGCCCGAACAATAAAAAACAGCCCCAGACCATTATCCCTCCTCCACCAAACTTTACAGTAGGCACTATGCATTCAGGCAGGTAGCGTTCTCCTGGCATCCGCCAAACCCAGATTAGTCCGTCAGACTGCCAGATTGTAAAGTGTAACGCGTTTCCACTGCTCCAGAGACCAATGGCGGCGGGCTTTACACCACTCCAGCCGACGCTTGGCATTGCACATGGTGATCTGAGGCTTGTGTGCGGCTACTCGGCCATGGAAACCCATTTCATGAAGCTCCCAACAAACAGTTATTGTGCTGACGTTGCTTCCAGAGACAGTTTGGAACTCGGTAGTGAGTGTTACAACCGAGGACAGACGCTTTTTACGTGCTTCAGCACTCGCCGGTCCCGTTCTGTGAGCTTGTGTGGCCTACCACTTCGTGGCTGAACCGTTGTTGCTCCTAGACGTTTCCACTTCACAATAGCAGCACTTACAGTTGACTGGGGCAGCTCTAGCAGGGAGAAAATTTGACAAACTGACTTGTTCTAAATCAGAACATGTTATTGTCTAGTGAATGAGCTTATATTTCATAAGAAAGTCAGGTACAGTGCCTTGCAAAGGTATTCATCCCCCTTGGCGTTTTTCCTATTTTGTTGCATTACAACCTGTAATTTAAATGGATTTTTATTTGGATTTCATGTAATGGACATACACAAAATAGTCCAAATTGGTGAAGTGAAATGAAAAAAATAACTTGTTTCAAAGAAATTCTAAAAAATAAATAACGGAAAAGTGGTGCGTGCATATGTATTCACCCCCTTTGCTATGAAGCCCCTAAATAAGATCTGGTGCAACCGATTTACCTTCAGAAGTCACATAATTAGTTAGATTGCACACAGGTGTACTTTATTTAAGAGACACATGATCTCAGTATATATACACCTGTTCTGAAAGGCCCCAGAGTCTGCAACACCACTAAGCAAGGGGCACCACATTTTTTTACAAGCGGCACCATGAAGACCAAGGAGCTCTCCAAACAGGTCAGGGACAAAGTTGTGGAGAAGTACAGATCAGGGTTGGGTTATAAAAAAATATAGAAACTTTGAACATCCCACAGAGCACCATTAAATCCATTATTAAAAAATTGAAAGAATATGGCACCACAACGAACCTGCTAAGAGAGGGCCGCCCACCAAAACTCACGGACCAGGCAAGGAGGGCATTAATCCGAGCGGCAACAAAGAGACCAAAGATAACCCTGAAGGAGCTGCAAAGCTCCACAGCGGAGATTGGAGTATCTGTCCATAGGACCACTTTAAGCTGTACACTCCACAGAGCTGGGCTTTATGGAAGAGTGGCCAGAAAAAAGCCATTGCTTAAAGAAAAAAATAAGCAAACGTTTGGTGTTCGCCAAAAGGCATGTGGGAGACTCCCCAAACATATGGATGAAGGGTCTCTGGTCAGATGAGACTTTTTGTCCATCAAGGAAAACACTATGTCTGGCGCAAACCCAACACCTTTCATCACCCCGAGAACACAATCCCGACAGTGAAGCATGGTGGTGGCAGCATCATGCTGTGGGGATGTTTTTCATCAGCAGGGACTGGGAAACTGGCCAGAATTTAAGGAATGATGGATGGCGCTAAATACAGGGAAATTCTTGAGGGAAATCTGTTTCAGTCTTCCAGAGATTTGAGACTGGGACGGAGGTTCACCTTCCAGCAGGACAATGACCCAGAGCATACTGCTAAAGCAACACTCGAGTGGTTTAAGGGGAAACATTTAAATGTCTTGGAATGGCCTAGTCAAAGCCCAGACCTCAATCCAATTGAGAATCTGTGGTATGACTTAAAGATTGCTGTACACCAGCGGAACCCCTCCAACTTGAAGGAGCTGGAGCAGTTTTGCCTTGAAGAATGGGCAAAAATCCCAGTGGCTAGATGTGCCAAGTGTATAGAGTCATAACCCAAGAGACTTGCAGCTGTAATTGCTGCAAAAGGTGGCTCTACAAAGTGTTGACTTTGGGGGGGGGGGGGGGGGGGGGGGGGGGGGGGGGGGGGGGGGGGGGGGGGGGGTGAATAGTTGTGCACGCTCAAGTTGTCTGTTTTTTTGTCATTTCTTTTTTGCTTCACAAGAAAAAATATTTTGCATCTTCAAAGTGGTAGGCATGTTGTGTAAATCATATGATACCAACCCCCCCAAAAATCCATTTTAATTCCAGGTTGTAAGGCAACAAAATAGGAAAAATGCCAAGGGGGGTGAATACTTTCGCAAGCCACTATAGTGTCTTATCATTGGACCTCAATAGATAATAATAATAATAATATGCCATTTAGCGGACGCTTTTATCCATAGCGACTTATCCACGTCCCCACATTCACCTAGTACACACTGACACCCCACTCTGCTCTTGCCCTTTTGACACATTTTCCTGAGGGGGTTATACACTAACTAAATGTGTCTCTGCTATATCCATGTAGTCTTTCAGTGGGGAGATGCTGTTACACTCTCCCTCTCCAGGGCATTACTGAATTATATTGTTCAAGTCACCAATATACACTTATATCCCTCTCTACTCTACTCATTAGTTGTATATCAGCTGAACTGTTTTATTAAGTGGTCCAGTAAATCCCTGCAGTGAGTCAGTGATGAGGGCTGCACCCCATATCGCAATATTATTTTGGACTATATTATATCTGTACTTTGACTCTCAAGTATCGATTTGTAAAACATAAAAAGTATTTCTTGCCAGGTAGCGTTAGCTAGCACTAATTGGCTGTATCTGCGCCAAAACTCTGGTATTTTTCATGCTATAGCTTGTTCTCAGTCTTTTTAAATAGTGAGTCAACATTTTTTGCGCACTGTTATTTCCATGACTGATTAAAACTAATCATGTTCTCTTTTGCCTCTGCAGCAGACATGTAGTGAGCCATATGTTTGGAACATCAAATTCCAGTAAAATCGCAGGATCGAATCGCAATACATATCGAATTGCAATACATATCGTATCGGCACTTAATTATCATGATAAAATCGTATTGTGAGGTCCCTGGAAATTTCCAGCCCTATTTTTACATAGTGCACTACTTTTGTCAAGAGCCCTATACACTATACAGGGAATAGGGTGCAATTTGGGATGCAGCCGAGGTGTTATCCCCTCTCCCTCTCTGAGGCTCTGGCAAGCCCTTCTAGTCGCTGTCTGTAACTCTAGGATCAGTGGTGGGATCATATCTGATGCGCACGGTGCACTTTCGCCTGGGGCAGCCACATTTCCATGCCTGATCGTCAGGGGAGTGGCGTCGGTGACCCGTTCTGAGACCTGAACTGCGAGCGGTCACCCAAGCATCTGCTGTCATCAGGCCCTAATTAAATCAACAGGTGTCTGGCAGGAGAGGAGAGGAGCGGGCCCTGTTTTGTCCACTTACTACATCACTAATGCTTTCTCTATCCCCAATCCCTCTCGCTCGCTCTCTGTGCTACAGAGCCAGGGAGCGGGAGAGATGGTGTGAGGAGAGAGTGGGAGAGGGATGTGTAATTCTAGTATAGAGAGAGAAAAAGAGAGAGAGATGGAGGGAGGGAGAAAATAAAGCAGTTTACTGTGTTGTAGGGATGGCAGGAGGGAGAGAGAGTGTGATTGGGGAAGTGATCAGAGAAAAAGACAGAGAGGGGAGAAACTGAGAGAAATCTGTTTACTATGTGGTATGGGAGCAGTTGGCCCTGCTTGACACAGTAAATACACCACTAATGCCTCTGTGTATGGAGCCAGAGAGTGAGAGGGAGGGATGAGATGGATGAAGGGATAGAGGAGGGAACAGATAAGGATGTAGAGAGAGAGGAGAATGGAAAGTTGGTGAAAAGCTGTTTGCTCTGTGTGTGCTATAGAAGAGGAGTGGCCCCTTACTTAGCAGTTATCTGTGCTCCTATCCAGGGGCCGAGGGAGGAAGGCGGAGGGAAAAAATGAGGGAGGTAGAGAGAGAGAGGATAGTGTGGATTAGAGAAATTGCTAAAGATGGTAGAGGTTAATAGGATGTGTCCCAAATGGCTTCCTGTTCCCTATATAATGCACTACTACTTGTGCACTCTGGTCCCAGGTCAAAAGTAGTGCATTATAAAGGGAATAGGGTGCCATTTGGGACACAGCCATAGATTAGAGAGGGGGGGGGGGGGAGTGTCTGCCCCCCTATTTGAAGCCCTTCCGTTCCTTATCCCTTCCCCCCTCTTTTTCCCATTTATCTCTGTGTTGCTTAGGGGCAGAGAGGTACTTGTTGTTGAAAACAGCCCCCCCCCCCCCCCCCCACTCATAATCAAACACAGATACTGAACATTGTGTCCCACATGAAAATCTATTTTTATCCTACTTAGAAGTAATGGAATACTTAGGATAGTTGGCCACCAGACAACTTAATAAGCAAACTAGCAGCAAGCGATACCAAACATTAGGCCTGTGGTTTTCTCCTCCCACACAGTGGCAGTGTGCTGGCCATATCTCCTCTGTTAACTGTTTGTTAATGTACTATTCCCATCAGCGGAATACATTGGGACACAATTAGTGTTTTGTCCTGCTGGGGCTAAACATAGCAGGGAGAGGAGAAGAGAACAGTCATGTTTGTTCTCCTGTGTGTGTGTGTGTGTGTGTGTGTGTGTGTGTTGTTTCTCAACAGAAATGGATGATGGAGTACTACCGGTATTATATCCTCCTCTATTGTTCTTCCCAGACACTGTTTGCACTCTCCTGTTGGCTGGTGTGATAAACTGTGTCATTGAGAGATGCCATTTGAGTCCTTGGCGATGCCAGATCAGATATGTGCCTTTTTTATGTGTCTCTGCTTATGTGTGTCTTTGTTGTACGCTGTTGTATGCATGTTCTTGCGTTGTCTGTGCGCGTGTGCTGTCGGCGTCGGTGTGTGTGAGACGGGCGGGCAGACTGAGGGAACAGATCTGTCTTTGTTGAGTGTTTGGGTGGCTCAGCTCTGCCATGCTGTACCATCTGAATGACAGGACGGACACCTCACACAGCACAGCCTGGCTGGCAGACAAAGACACCGTTTTCTTTCTGACTGCGCTGTACTTTTATCCTCTCTTATTCGCTCTCTGTCTGTCTGTCTGTCTGTCACTCTCTGTCGCTCTGTCTGTCTGTCGCTCTGTCTGTCTGTCGCTCTGTCTGTCTGTCGCTCTGTCTGTCGCTCTGTCTGTCGCTCTGTCTGTCACTCTGTCTGTCGCTCTGTCTCTGTCGCTCTGTCTGTCTGTCTGTCGCTCTGTCTGTCTGTCTGTCGCTCTGTCTGTCTGTCTGTCGCTCTGTCTGTCTGTCGCTCTGTCTGTCTGTCTGTCGCTCGGTCTGTCTCTCTCTGCCTGTGTGTGTGTCTTGCCCTCTCTCTCTCTCCCCCCCAAAAAAAATATATATATGTTGTCTTGTCAGCCGTACCCCCTCCTCTCTAGCCCCTCTTCCCATCATCACTATGACTAATCCTAAGTCACACACTAAAGATGCACACTGAAACACAATGGAGAGAAAAAACACACTCACACAGACGTGCTTTGACACAGGACACACTGGGAGCCCACAGACGTGTGTGTGTGTGTTTTTTTTCCTGTCTGCGTGTGTGTATCCTGTCCCTGGCTGTGAGCCAGCCTCTGTCTGGGTTACTGGTGACTACTCCAGAGTGGGTTGGCTATGGCCTAGCCAGGCAGCTTCCTGAGGGGGAGGCTAGTCGCTCCAGCTCTCCACAACACACACACACACACACACACACACACACACACACACACACACACACACACACCACTACTCCTTCGACAGCCACATGTTGTCCCACTGCCAAACCAGAGCCCCATAAACACACATGAAAACATATGAAAGGGATTTGACAGGGTGAGGAGTTGGAGGTGAGGCGGGGGGCGGGGGTATTCGGAATGCTGCTGGTAAATGAATTAGGCTAGCTAGGAGCCTGGGCTTGTAAACTGGAGCTCCTACCCCTTGCTGCAGTCTAGTTACACCCCTACCCTTCTACCCTGCGTCTGGGAGGTTGAGACTGAAGAAAGAAAGAGAGAGGGTGAAGCTGGGTGGTTTTAATGGGGCATTTCTCTCTGCTATAGATCCAGTCTGGTTATTATAATGGGTTCAGAGGACTGTGTGTGATGTGTGTCTTTCTGTCTCTGTGTATGGCAGGTGAGGAACCTGTGCTACATGGTGACGCGGCGGGAGAAGATGAAGGGTTCCCTGTGTGACCTCCAGGAGAAGATTTTCCACCTGCAGATCCAGCTGCTGGAGGAGGACCTAGCTGGAGGTGAGTGGAACACACGTGGTCAGAGAGCCCAAACACAAGCTACCATCAGCTGCAGTGTAGGGCTGTGGTTAAGAGAAACAGACACAGGATGTACAAGTACATTACCTTCCCACTACATACATACACACATACAGTATTACACTGCTGGGACTTCCTTCCTTCCTGTTATAACCTGAACAAGGGTGAATTCAGGACAGCAGTATGTGGCCCTGTTCTAATACTTTCAAAATGCACCCTTCTTCTTATCTCCTTGTTTAAACATGCATGTATCCTTCCCTCCTTGAAGTAATATGGGAATGGGATGGAACCCTTGGTAATGAGTTAGGGAATACTTCAGGTTTCCATTCCATTCCCATATGACTTCAAGGAAGGAGAGAAGGATGCATGTGTAAAGTATTTGAACAGAGCCCGTTACAGTGTCCCAGTGCTGCAGAGGCAGATGGGCAGGGCCCTCCCTGTGTTCAGCCCTAAAAGCCCAGTGGATTCACTCTAAGGACTAGACAGTGGACACAAAGCAATATTCTATCACTGTGGAAGCTGAGATCATCCAGACACGGGCTGCGTCCCCATTGGCACCCCTATTCCCTACATATTGTACTACTTTTGACCAGGGTCCATAGGACTCTGGTCAAAAGTAGTGCACTACATAGGGAATAGGGGTGCCATTCGGGATGTATCCATGTTATGTGCTCTGACTATACTCAGCGTTGGTTGGCTGTCCATCTGCTGTGTGTGTGGAACATGGGAATAGCCCAGTGTTCTGTGTTGGGAGTCCATCAGCCGTGACGTGTGAGAAGAGAACCCCTCTACTCTCCCTTCATGACAGGCTAACTGATGGTTCTTGTGAGCTGGCAGGGGGGAGAGGGAGGGAGGGAGGGAGGGAGAGAGGGAGGGGGAGCGAGAGGGTGGGACAGAGGAAAAGGGTGGTAGCTCCCGAGTGGCGCAGTGGTCTAAGGCACTGCAGCGCAGTGCTAGCTGTGCCACTAGAGATCCTGGTTCGAATCCAGGCTCTGTCGTAGCCGGCCGCGACCGGGAGACCCATGGGGCGGCGCACAATTGGCCCAGCGTCGTCCAGGGTAGGGGAGGGAATGGCCGGCAGGGGTGTAGCTCAGTTGGTAGAGCATGGCGTTTGCAACGCCAGGGTTGTGGGTTCGATTCCCACGGGGGGCCAGTATGAAAAAAATTAAATGTATGCATTCACTAACTGTAAGTCGCTCTGGATAAGAGCGTCTGCTAAATGACGTAAATGTAAATGTAGGGGGAGAGAGAAGTAGAGGGAGAAAGAGGGAGAAAGAGAGAGAGAAAGAGGGAGAGAAATGTAGAGAGAGAAAGAGGGAGAGAGAAGTAGAGAGAAAGAAAGGGATATGAGAGAGGTCGCCCAGTCATTATGATACCGACAGCCCCATCTTTCTCCATCTAAGGGAGCAGGGTGCAGGCAGAGGCCCTGGTTGCGTCCCAAATGGCAGCCTATTCCCTTCATAGTGTGCAACTTTTGACCAGGGCCCATAGGGCTCTGGTCAAAATTAGTGCAGTTTATAGGGGTGCCATTTGGGATGCATCCACTGAAGCAGTGTGTTCTATCACGGGGCTCTCTGTCCCCTCCCCGGCTCTGTGTGTCGGCCCCTCATTTCCATGTGTGAATAGATATGGCTGCTTAGCACCGGGCAGCCAACACAGGCCCCTGATAGTGCTGAAAAGTGCAGAGTTAGGAGGTCTTACAACACAGCAGCGGGCTTTGGGGGCTCAGGAATGATGAACACTGCAAATTGAGTACCGGCTGGGGAGACTCTCAACTCCCCAGGCTAACACACAAGCACACACAGACATAGGCACAAGTGGACACATACACCCTTCCTTTTCCACACATACACAGAACCCACTCCAACACACACCTGAACTAACATAGCCTATTCCTCTTTCAAATGTTAATATGCACATAAATTCCCACCCAAACCCCTCCCCTTTTCCAACACACACGCACTTCCTCCCTCTCTAGTTTCTCCCTCTAGAGAGTCCTGGCTAGTTATTCTGGATCACAGTGGCTCATTTCCAATTCCTTCTGACAGACACACAGGGGAAGCCCTCAGACTCTCTGCCCTAGGCCCTTGACTTGGCCAAGTGTACTAGTGTGTAAAGACTATCAGGCCTGTGAGTGTGGTTACTAGGGGTCCGGTACTGGGGCCAGAGGGAGGACATGGACACTGCAGGTTGACTACTACTACACCACAACTACTCACATAACTGGGGGCTGTAATGGAGTCAGGGTCAGGGAGAGTCCCAAATGGCACCCTATTCCCTATGGGCCCTGGTCAAAACTATTGCACTATAGAGTGAATAGGGTGCATATTTGGAACGCAGATTTTTATCTGTCTAGGGATAGACATTCTACTCAGGTCTTAAAGGTACCTTCCTACCGGGTTACCTTCCTGTAGACCCAGAGCAGGGCAGAATAGATGTGTGTGTGTGTGTGTGTGTGTGGAGAGAGGACTCTGGGCTGAGCTCTCTGTCTTCTAGAGAGAGAGGGCGCATGGAGTAAAAAGAATCTCTGGGGTGTCGTGCTAATGAGCGCAAGTAAGAAGTGGGACACGGTGCATCACACACAAACACACACACTCAAACACACATACACTTACACACCATCTCCTTTACACACACACACACACACACACACACACTGCAGCTGAGTGCTCCCAGAAAGAGATGAAATGAACCACACACTTCAAAAAGACTAATCCCTTGACAGCACTGCACCTCACCGACAACGCCAGAAAATGTAAATGAGAGGAGAGAGAGAGGGAAAGACGAGGAGAGAAAACAACTGATCTGACAACGCAAATGTCTCTCCAAGTTAGTCTGTTGCAGAAAGGATGAGTTTTTTTTCTCCCTTCAGCACACATATTGACAGAAATAGCCAACGCATCACTCATAAATATTACCTTCGGTCCTACACACATTTAACGGCAGTGTTCAGGCACACACACACACACACAACAGATTTTTTTAAACAACATGTACACATATGCACACACACACATCATGGGTAGCCTCAGTGTGAAACACAACCCTCCGGGAGGACACCGTGAGGTACCACTCAGCCCCCCTCATGCATGTCCTGCTCCTCCATGCTAGGGGAAGCATGATGGAGGGAGGCCCTCAGTGCCCCCACAACTCAACTCAGCCTCTATTATAACCAGCATGAGAGGAAGTCTGGCGTGCACACCAACCGCTCCACTGTTGGTCTAAGCAGCTGGAGCGTGTTAAAACATGTCCCACAACAATAAGTGCCTCCACAGAGAGAGGGGGGGGAGCCGCCAACCCAACCCAACCGCACGCACAGCTAGTGGGACGTTTTCTCAGCAGGGGGCTCTCCCTCTATGTTATGTGTCTCTGTGAGTGTCCAAATAGATGTTAGTGCAGATGTATATTTATTGTAAGTGTGCTTGTTTGTGAGCGTACCTGTGAATATTTGTAGTTGTGAGTGTTGGTGAATTTCCTGTGTCTCACAGTCCCCAATGACTATACACAAGAGCTGTGAATAGAGATACTGAAGGTTTTGACTGTGAGGGATTTCTTTGGTCGGAGCGTTTCTGAGAAGTGGGGACGGTTTCTCAGTTTGGTCTGTCAGGTTATGGGATGTTTCTCTCATCACAACGATTAGTCCAGCTGGTGGGATAAAAGGTGCCATTCTGGGGTCAGGTGGCTCAGTTTCTCAGTGTCTGGTTCACTCTGACTGGGAAACTGAACCAGGATGGAGACAAGGAGCCTCAAGGTACTGCTTAGTACTGGGGCTCAGGAGTCCAATGACTTCTGAATGTTTTCCACACGAGAGGCTGTGAATGACCCCCAATTCAGTTTACAATGAAATCAAACATTGACTGCTACAGTGAGGGGAAAAAAGTATTTGATCCCCTGCTGATTTTGTACGTTTGCCCACTGACAAAGAAATGATCAGTCTATAATTTTAATGGTAGGTTTATTTGAACAGTGAGAGACAGACTAACAACAAATAAATCCAGGAAAACGCATGTCAATAATGTTATAAATTGATTTGCATTTTAATGAGGGAAATAAGTATTTGACCCCCTCTCAATCAGAAAGATTTCTGGCTCCCAGGTGTCTTTTATACAGGTAACGAGCAGAGATTAGGAGCACACTCTTAAAGGGAGTTCTCCTAATCTCAGCTTGTTACCTGTATAAAAGACACCTGTCCACAGAAGCAATCAATCAATCAGATTCCAAACTCTCCACCATGGCCAAGACCAAAGAGCTCTCCAAGGATGTCAGGGACAAGATTGTAGACCTACACAAGGCTGGAATGGGCTACAAGACCATCGCCAAGCAGCTTGGTGAGAAGGTGACAACAGTTGGTGCGATTATTCGCAAATGGAAGAAACACAAAAGCACTGTCAATCTCCCTCGGCCTGGGGCTCCATGCAAGATCTCACCTCGTGGAGTTGCAATGATCATGAGAACGGTGAGGAATCAGCCCAGAACTACACAGGAGGATCTTGTCAATGATCTCAAGGCAGCTGGGACCATAGTCACCAAGAAAACAATTGGTAACACACTACGCCGTGAAGGACTGAAATCCTGCAGCGCCCGCAAGGTCCCCCTGCTCAAGAAAGTACATATACAGGCCCTTCTGAAGTTTGCCAATGAACATCTGAATGATTCAGAGGAGAACTGGGTGAAAGTGTTGTGGTCAGATGAGACCAAAATCGAGCTCTTTGGCATCAACTCAACTCGCCGTGTTTGGAGGAGGAGGAATGCTGCCTATGACCCCAAGAACACCATCTCCACCGTCAAACATGGAGGTGGAAACATTATGCTTTGGGGGTGTTTTTCTGCTAAGGGGACAGGACAACTTCACCGCATCAAAGGGATGATGGACGGGGCCATGTACCGTCAATTCTTGGGTGAGAACCTCCTTCCCTCAGCCAGGGCATTGAAAATGGGTCATGGATGGGTATTCCAGCATGACAATTACCCAAAACACACGGCCAAGGCAGCAAAGGAGTGGCTCAAGAAGAAGCACATTAAGGTCCTGGAGTGGCCTAGCCAGTCTCCAGACCTTAATCCCATAGAAAATCTGTGGAGGGAGCTGAAGGTTCGAAACCTTAATGACTTGGAGAAGATCTGCAAAGAGGAGTGGGACAAAATCCCTCCTGAGATGTGTGCAAACCTGGTGGCCAACTACAAGAAACATCTGACCTCTGTGATTGCCGACAAGGGTTTTGCCACCAAGTAGTAAGTAATGTTTTGCAGAGGGGTCAAATACTTATTTCCCTCATTAAAATGCAAATCAATTAAAAACATGCGTTTTTCTGGATTTTTTTGTTGTTATTCTGTCTCTCACTGTTCAAATAAACCTACCATTAAAATTATATACTGATCATGTCTTTGTCAGTGGGCAAACGTACTAAATCAGCAGGGGATCAAATACTTTTTTCCCTCACTGTATATAGCCTACTCAGTATTTGACTGTGTATACATTATGCAACCGTATTTAACTGCTGCACACCATATGTGTTCCAAATGGCACCCTATTCCCTATATAGTGCAATACTTTTGACTGCAGCCTTGCACAATATAGGGAATAGGGTGCCATTTGGGACACACACAGTATGTCCCCAAGGGTACAGCCAATCAGTAGAAAAACAGTAGTTGATCTACTCTCTCATGAGAGAAAATATCCCAGTCTTGCGTCTGCTTCTCCCTGACTTCATGCATGGCTTGCTCCACTGCAATGTTGCTCTATTTCCTCTGCAGAGAAAACCATGAAGGGCCATAAGGGAAGACAGAACGGGGTGAAGGAGAAGGGGAAGGAGCGGCGGAAAAGCAGTCCGGAGAAGAAGAAAGAGAGGTGGAAGTCTGACAACGGCTCCCTCCTCAAACAGCTAGGTATGTCTGCCACACCACAAAGGGGTTTGTGTATGCGGTGTGAGTTTCCAGTTGAGTTGATGACGTATATAACACCCACTCCCCCCTGAGTTGCTATCACATCTCCCCAGACTTGTCCAGACTCGCACCATCTAGATCTGAGTGCCGATTCACCACCCTTCTTCTGAAGTGTGCTCTTGCAGACTCCCTGTCATGGATTTAACAATGTTGGAAAGCCAATGCTTACACCAATCCAAAGCATTCAAATCAATGACTGGGAGTGTGCAAGTGCACACTTTGGGCGAAGTGTGGAGAATCAGGATGCAGCCTAGGTCTCCTCTGTGGATACCATCTCTGGAGAATACATCAGTGTTAGTGCTGAGCGATTAGTGCTTTTTGAGGTTGTTTCGGTTCGATTCATAAAAAATAAGCACGGTTTTAGGTTTCCATTATGTCAGTTGAATGCTGTAACACAGAATAAAACAATTAATAAAAGTCCCATGATGGTAGTGACTGCCCATTACTGCATATCACTTATTAACCATCAGTTATTCACTTTACTTTACTTTAATAAAATATTTCAGTTGGTGTATATTGTATTTTTTTAAATTGTATTATTCCATTCCAAGTCATCTCATCTCTATAGAGCTGCTGCTTGTGCTGTCTGACAAAATCACTATTTCAGTAGTTCTTCAGAGTAAATAAGGCATAGTTTTATGACTGCTGAATAACAGCTATCGGTCATTTAGATCATGTATTTCAGGTAGAGATACCTTGCGAAGCAACAGCTGCTCTCTGTATCACCTCACGATCCTGCATTCTTCTCTGTTGAGTAGCAGGTGTAAAAGAAACACAGACCGGACAAGTAGATGCGCAATGGATTATGGTCATTGTAGTTAATTACAACATTTTATACCCTAAACTATGTAGAATATTATCCTGTTGGAAACTACAACTCCCTACTACATCGCACAGTTCAGGCTGGATCTGATTTATCTCTAGGGAAACTGCAATGTGCGCATTGAGCTTAGAAGAAAACTGAACTAAATGGAATTCAAATAATTGAACCGACGTCGGTCAATTAGTTGTTTAATAACCGAAAAATAACCAACATTTCGGTTAATCCAAACTCTCCCGAGCTGATGATCATGATGAAGATGCTTACAGTATCATCATTCAGGGGGAAAGTCTTTCCACAGTTGCACATACTCAACTAGAAGCATCCTTCAACCCCAGTCAATCTGTAGAACCGTTAACAGGGAGTCGACTAGGAAACGGTTAGCCAATGTTTATGTCTGTGGTTATCCTGTAATATTTAACTTTCTGGGTCAATGCCTTTCTTTAGCAGACATGACTAACCCGCTGATGTGACGTGAGTGGCTTGGCCCCTTTAGTGGAGCTGAGGACCAACATATGGTCATGACAGGAGGAGCCTTTATGACCGGAGCCTTGGTAACAGTACCAAAGAAGAATCATGTCCCACATGTGTCCACAGAGCCTATGTCTCTAAGAGCTCCCGTAGGACCAGTGCTTCCCAATGCCGATCCTTATACTTCACTTTCAGCTTTTCATTATGTTAACCACTCCAAAACCAGTACACAGGTGGACCTAGCGAAGGACTTGCATGAGGGAACCTATGTTTGATTCCTATTACATAGGGGAACCTATTGTTACATTATCAGCAGTGCTTCGGTACTGCAAACACACACTTCAGCCTTCAGATTCGGTTCTACCTGTAGCACAACACACAGTAGGCAGAGCGCTGACCTTTAGGTTAAGGTAAATAACAAGTTTAACAGTGGCTAGCAGTGGTTTCTTCCTGACTGTCCTTCACAGTTATATAAATGCTACACAGTGTTGTGATAACAGAACAGTAACAGAGCACTGTGTTTTTTGTGTTTTTTTTCTCTCTGCCTGACTGATTCATCAGATGTTATCTACTCTGCCTACCTGATCGTGTGTGTTTTGAGGACATCTGCTCTCTGTCAGACTGCTCAGTAGTGCTCTGACGACTCACAGGGCTGACTGTGTACTATGTAGGATCAGGTTGACATACACTCCAACTCTACCTTTAAGCAATTAACCCCAAATGTGTGTGTGTGTGTTGTTTCTCAACAGAAATGGATGATGGAGTACTACCGGTATTATATCCTCCTCTATTGTTCTTCCCAGACACTGTTTGCACTCTCCTGTTGGCTGGTGTGATAAACTGTGTCATTGAGAGATGCCATTTGAGTCCTTGGCGATGCCAGATCAGATAAGGCAGAGAGTTACTGAGAGGAGTCCCAACTATAGCCATGGAAACACATCTGTTTGTCTGGCTTGGTGCATGTGTACCTTCTCAGGTGGACATTAAAAACAATGTCAATAGTATTTTCATGGTAAAAGGGGTAGAGGTTCAACCTTAAAGCCCGGTGGAATTGTCATGGTGTGGGTCCAGTATCCCTGCCCGCCGCCTGTTCTTTCTGAGCGCCATGGGTGCGTTGTGGTGCGTGCCCCCTGCTAAGGCAGAGCTGCTCTCTTAAATCCCCAGGCTTTAGTGTGTGACCTTCCTTTATGGAACAGGATAACCCAGGGGGTCAGAGGGCAGGGGAAAGCATTTCCTGATAAGGCAGCAGGACAGAGGCTGGCAGAGTCTCAAATTGCACCCTTTTCTCTATATAGTGCACTACTTTTTGACCAGAGCCCTATGGGAATAGGGTGCCATTTGGTATGCAGATGGATCCTGGCATCTGGCCACCGTGATAAGCCTGTTGTAACGTGACCCCTGGGTGGCAGACAGAGTGGAGTAGAGTACCTCTGAGTGTTATAGTGGTGAAATAGACTGGAAGACCTTCTGGGTGTTGATATTGAGAGTGCTGGATAATAACTCTCTCTCCCCAGACTGATACTTTGGGCATCATTTTAACACTTAATTTGTGTTTCTGCCTCTAAGTTCTTCAGGCATCGAGTTTACAGTGCTCTCTCTTTCTGACTCTCACTGCTCACTCCCCTCTCTTTCCCTCTCCCTTTCCCTCGCTCTGTGCGTATGCAGGGTTGTCAGGGCGACAGTTGGCACCTGAGAACAATTGGCACACTGTAGCGTGGCCTGCACAAACACAAGTCTGACTCTGCCCCAGCCAGTGCATTCCTGGCCCTGCCTAGCCTAGCCTAGCTTAGCCTACCTCCCTCCCTGGCCCTACCTAGCCTAGCCTAGCTTAGCCTACCTCCCTCCCTGGCCCTACCTAGCGTAGGTCTAGCCCTGTCTCAGCCAGCGCATTCCTAGCCCTACTAGGCCTCGCCTAGCCTAGCGTGGGCTGCTACCATACCGCAGCAGCCTAGGCCCCAGGGCTGCTTTCACCGGGTCCAAGGAGCAGAGCCAGGAGAGGGGAGGAGGAGAGGAGCGGCTGCAGCCAGCAGACATGCGCAGCAGGGTGGGTTGGAGATGAGGAGGAGAGGTGGGGCAGAGTGGGTCACGACCAGCCCCCGCCCTCCTTTCTCTCTCTTCCAACTCTGCTCCCTCCCTCCCTTTCTGTTCCCCCCTTCCTCCCCTTCTCTCTGTTCCACCACCCCTCCATCCCTCCTCTCATTCCCTCCACACCTCCCTCCTCCCCTCTCTAGTCTCCTGTCTCCAGCAGAGGCGCTGGTGCTGTTGCTGTGTCATGGAAACTGCTGGCCTGGGTGTGCTGACCCAATCCCAGCAGCTCCTGCTGACCTCCTGGTGGGCACAGGGCTTTAGGAAGGAGGGGGTGACTGGCTAGAGGAGAGGGGAAGAGAGAGGCAGCATCCCAAATGGCTCCCTACTATCTATTTAGTGCAGTACTGTGCCATTTCGGATGCAGATTAAGAATTTCGGATGGACCCAATACTTTTTCAATAGGAGTCATCCGTTGCCAGTTAAATGACAACGGGGATGCATTGTCCAACAAAAACACACAAACGGTCTGTCTTTTTACATATTCAACTCGTCCGACAATACTTGACTTTAGTTGTACTTTTGACAGACAAAAAAAACGGACAATGATATAGGTCATGTACGATTTGATCCGTGTTCATGCGTCTGAGTGTGGCGGCCGTAGCCTTAGGGGCTGGGCTAACAGGTGGATTTAACAGGTGATGACTTGGTCAGGAATGTTGAGGGTTGTGTTGGTGTGACCTCTTGGCACCTCTTTGTCCTGTGAATCTCATTATGTGGTCTATAGGAATCCGGTACAGTAGAGTAGATGGTAGTGGGAGGTAAGGTATACTGACTATCATCTCAGTTTGGGGGGAAAGGTAGATTTTGTTTTCCAATCTTCTCTCCCTGCCTCCCCACACCCCTACCTCCCTCCCTCCGTGTCTCTGTGCTAAAATGTTGACATGCCCAGCAGAGAGCATCTCTCAAGTTGATCCTCCCTGCCTCCTCTCCTCCCTCTATCCCTCCCTCCCTGCCTCCTCTCCTCCCTCTATCCCTCCCTCCCTGCCTCCCCTTGCCCCTCTCCCTCCTCCTCTATCCCTCCCTCCCTGCCTCCTCTCCTCCCTCTATCCCTCCCTCCCTGCCTCCTCTCCTCCCTCTATCCCTCCCTCCCTGCCTCCTCTCCTCCCTCTATCCCTCCCTCCCTGCCTCCTCTCCTCCCTCCCTCCCTCCCCCCCTGCCTCCTCTCCGCCCTCTATCCCTCCCTGCCTCCTCTCCTCCCCTCCCTCCCTCCCTGCCCTGCCCCTCCTCCTCCTCCTCCCTCTATCCCTCCCTCCCTGCCCTTCCTCCTCTCCTCCCTCTCATCTCCTCCCTCCCTGCCTCCCTTCTCCCTCCCCCTCTACATCCCTCCCTCCCTGCCCTCCTCTCCTCCCTCTAATCCTCCCTCCCTTCCTCCCTCCCTCCTCCCTCCCTCTATCCCTCCCTCCCTCCCTCCTCCTCCTCTCCTCCCTCCCTCCCTCCCTGCCTCCTCTCCTCCCTCTATCCTCCCCTGCCTCCTCTCCTCCCTCCCTCCCTCCCACCCTGCCTCCTCTCCTCCCCTCTATCCCTCTCCCTGCCCCTCTCCTCCCTCCCTCCCTCCCTCCCTCCTCCTCCCTCCCTCTATCCCTCCCTCTCATCCCTCCCTCCCTTCCACCTGCTCTCCCTCCTCTCTATCCCTCCCTCCCTGCCTCCTCTCCTCCCTCTCCCTCTCCTCCCCTCCCTGCCTTCCTCTCCTCCCTCTATCCCCCTCCCTCCCTGCCTCCTCTCCTCCCTCTATCCCTCCCTCCCTGCCTCCTCCTCCTCCCTCATCCCTCCTGCCCTCCCACCCCCTGCCCTCTTCCTCCCTCTCATCCCTCCCTCCCTCGCCTCCTCTCACTCCCTCTACCCTCCCTCCCCCCCCTCGCCCTCCTCCACTCCTCCCTCTCCTATCGTCCTGCTCCTATCCTCCCCCTCCCTTCCCTCCTCTCCTCCCTCCCTCCCCTCCCACCCTGCCCTCCTCCCTCCTCCCTCTCACTCCCTCCCTCATCCCTTCCTCCTCTCCTCCCTCTATCCCTCCCTTCCGCCTCTCCTCCCCTCCCTCCCTCCAGTCCTCTGTCCGTGTTCCTTCCTCCTCCTCCCTCTTCACCTCCCTCTCCCCTCCTCTCCTCCCTCCCTCCCTCTCTCCCCTTCCTCCTCCCTCCTCCTCCTCCCTCTCATCCCTCCCTCCCCCTCCTCCTCTCCTCCCTCTATCCCTCCCCTCCCTGCTCCTCTCCTCCTCTCCTCCCTCTCCCCCCCTTCCTCCCCCCTCCTCCCCTCTCCCTCCCTGTCCTCCTCTCCTCCCTCTCCCTCCCTCCCCCCTCCTCCTCCTCTCCTCCCTCATCCCTCCCTCCCTGCCTCCTCTCCTCCCTCCTATCCCTCCCCTCCGCTGCCATCCTCCTCCTCCCTCTATCCCTCCCTCCCTGCCTCCTCCTCCTCCCCTCTATCCCTCCCCCCTGCCTCCTCTCCTCCCTCTATCCCTCCCTCCCGCTCCTCTCCTCCCTCCCTCCCTCCACCCTGCCTCCCTCTCCTCCCTCTATCCTCCCTCCCTTCCTCCTCTCCTCCCTCCCTCCCCTCCCACCCTGCCTCCTCTCCTCCCTCTATCCCCCTCCCATCCCTCCATCCCTCTCCTCCCCTCTCCTCCCTCCCTCCACCCTCCTCCTCTCCTCCCTCTTCCCTCCTCCCTTCCTCCCCCCCCCCCCTCCCTCCCCCCTGCCCCTCTCCTCCCTCTCCTCCCTTCCCCCCCCCCCTATCCCTCCCTCCATCCCAACCCTCCCTGCTATTTCCCCCTCCTCTCCTCCTCCTCCCCCCCTGCCTCCTCTTCCCTTCCTCTCCTACTCGGCCTCTCCTTCCCTCCCTCCGCCTCTCCCTCCTCCCTCCTAGCCTCCCCTTTCCGTCCTTCTTCACTGCTCCCTGCCTCCTCTCCCCCTCTCTCCTCCCTCTCTCCTCCCTACCTTCCTCCCTGCATTTCCCTGTGCCACTCCTTCCGTGCCTCCTCTCCTCGGTTGTGTTCCTCCCATACTTCCATAGGGGCTGTGGTGGAATTAGCCTTCTTTGTTAATGACTGTGATTAAAAATGCTATTCTAAGTAGGATCTTAATCTCATTAAACAGTGCAGGCAGGCTGCTAATACTCTGCTAATACTCTCTCCACTGCTAATACTCTCTCCCTATGCCAGCCAGCGCCTTACTCATCACCAGACAGAGACACACATTTAAGGAGGTTATTGTAGCTCATTCAAACAACAACACACCTATAGGGTTTAAGTGTATTTTCAGCAGGTCTACCTTAAAAATAGGCTTATGTATGTGTGTGCGCGTTCAAGCTCTGTTTGTTGGCAGGTGTGCGTGTAGGTGTGTGAAATCATTTGTCAACAGTGGCTCATGATATTTTGGGTTGACAGGACCCAGTGTGTTTCTAGTTTAGGGGCAGGGTTGGGGGAGTGGAGGGTGTTACCCAGGTTGCTGTCCCTGATGCCGAACAGCATCTCCCAGACCGTGGGAGAGGGACTTCATGGGATTGGAATAGGGGTAGTGGATGGAGCTATAGGGGTGTCCTGAATGGCACCCTATCCCTGGCCTATATAGTGCACTACTTTGACCAGAACCCTATGGGCCCTGGTCAAAGTAGTGCACTACAATAGGGGCTCTCCCTCCTTCCCTCTATTTTCTGTGAGAATCGATGTTCCCGAGCTGCAGAGAGGCTCTGGCAGCCAACTCTGGGCCATAATGACAGACAAGGAGGCATGCAAATCTCCTAATTATATACACACACAGCATGCATTGTCTCCAAAAGCTGCGTTTGACAGTGAAAGTCCCTGGTGGTGGTGGTGACAAAGTACAGACAGACAGACAGACGCAGAACGGGGCTAATGCATTGTTTAAACTCACACAGGAAGTGGGTTGATTGGGTAAGTCCCAAATGGCACCCTTTTCCCTATGTACTGCACTACTTTAGACCAGGGCCCATAGGGCTCTGGTTAAAAGTAGTGCACTATATAGGGAATAGGTTGCCATTTGGGATGCACTCATATACCGCCTGTTAAATGGTTTTACATTCATTATTGATTTAGTGAAGGAAAGTCTGGTCAGGTTTAGCATCAGCACTTAGACCACAAAGCCCCCAGACTATACTTTGTCACCCAGTCCTACGCTTTGTCTTCCTATGTTTTCAAGGTTGTTCCAGACTTCCTCCCAGAAGGCTTTATGTTTTGGACGGAACAGTTGATCCTACTAACCTCCCACAGACATTCATGAGATATAAGAATAATCTATATAACAAGGGTGTCAAATTCAATTCCTGGAGTGCCGTGTGTCTGCAGGTTTTCAGTCCTCACTTGTACTTAAATGATCAATTAAGGTCAATGATTAATTAAGAACTCCCCTTTACCTGGTTGTCTAGGTCTTAATTGGGCACGAATTGAAAGGAAATAACAAAAACTGCAGACACATGGCCCTCCTAGAATTGAGTTTGACACCCTTGCTCTAGAGTGTGGTCCTCTCACCTGTCCCCTGTCCATCTCTCCCCCAGGTTTCCCCAAGACCTTCCCTCTGGACAACTCCCTGTTTGACAGCTGGCTGGCCCAGTCGGTGCAGATCACGGCTGACGACATGCTGAGCCAGTGGGCCCTGGACGACGGGCAGCACCGTGACAAGACGGCCAGCCTGCTGTCTGACCAGCTGCTGCAGGGAGAGGAGAGCCTGCTCAGCCTCATGATGGACCACTCCATGAAGTCCACCTGGAAGACCCCTCAGCTGGGCCGCAAGACCCGGGGCAAGCCCAGAGCCCGGGGCCAACACTCCACCACCAACACCGCCGCAGCAACCACCCCGCCTTCTGCCACCGCTGTCAGCCCCCCTGCTGCTGCCACCGCCTCCTCCACAGCCAAGGGGCCTCTGCTGGCAGATGAGAGGCCAGGCCATGGGACCCATAGAGGGGAGAGGTCCCGGAGCTCCAAGGCCCTCCACCACCATCACCACCACCCCCAGACCAGGAGCACTGAAGTGCCGCTGGACCCGCCGCCGCAGCCACCCACCTCCAAAATGGACTCCTGTCACATCTCGGAGGAGCGCGGCCCCTGGGACAGCCTCACTGGTACAGGGGCAGCATCCGCCCCCACGCCACCTCTGGCCTCCTGCTCCCCCCCACAGCCCTGCAGTAGTCCCGGGACAGTGCCTAAGGGGAGGTCAGGTGCGGGTCCCGGTCACCGCACGGCCCTGCGCCTCCGCCTGCCCCGGCAGGGTAAGTCCCGGGGGAAGGGTGGGGGTGGAGGGGTGAAGGAGATGGTGGAGCGCCCCCTGGATAGGGAGAGAGAGAGGGACACCCACCCAGTGAAGGAGACGTCATCGTCATCGCTGCTGGACCCCGAGACGGATGGCTACTTCTCTGACGCCGAGCAGAGCGACTCGGACACGCGCTCCAGCGGCCGCAAGCTCCGCTTGGCCCAGTTGCATTCTGGGAGCGAGGACCTGCTGAGGAGGAGCGTGCTAGCGTTGTAGAAGAAAACGGAGAAGCGCACACACACATACACACACACACACCATCGTCCAGAAGACACACTGATTTCTCAGACTGACCGGAGCTCCATCCCAGCTCCCGCTACCATGGCTACTGTCTGTCTGTCCGTCTGTGCTCTTGATATTATACATGCAGTTCTTTTCTCTCTAGATCGCTTTAACCAACCAAATCTCTGTACTTCACTAGTCATAAATCAGTCTATTTGCTCTGTTCTGGGGATTTGATTGTAGCTGTTAGTCAGATAGCTACATACACAACGAGACCCTAGATGTTAGTAGGGCTTGTTAAAGTAACAAATGCTGTATGATGATGTAAGAAGACAAAGAGGAAATGGAATTTGGACAATGTTACATTTAGGTTTTATTTTGAAGTATAACATGGTTGTAAACATCAACCCTTTCTAGCGGTGTGTGGTTAGTGGTACCTAGCCGCTAGAATTGGGGTGAATACTTTGTGGGCATTATAAGCTGGTTCAGGTGAATCTCTTCCTTTCTCTTGACGTAAGATGGATCCCATGAGGTGATCCCTGGGATATGATGTTTAAAAAGCCTTTCAGTTAAGTACCATTCTGAGAAATATACAGAAAATATCACACAAATATTAGCCATTAAAAGCACAAATAGCTAACAGGAGCTGTAACACAAACATTGCGCATAAACACACACACTCTTTCACACATACACACCAAACACATTACGCACACACACACATTACACAAACTCAAAACCACTCTGTCTGCATCCAGCCGTTGTTGAAACATACTGTTTGAGAATTACGTCAACTCTTCACTGACTCCTCCTCATCTTCCTTTTGGGTCTGAATCATTGGAGAAACAGTATTTTACGAATCGTGTGCCTTCTGTCGCTCCCCCAAAAATGAGTTTATCAATCAATCACTTCTATAATCTGATTTGTTACAATCAAAAAATGAAAATCTGTTGTATTGGCCATCAAGCGTACTGAAACAGAGGGCTTCTCCGATCTTAATTGTAGTGCCTAAAAAATGTAATGCAGCTTTTGCCATTAATCAACCCAACCGCATGCAAAGCCACACAGTTCTATCATATTTGTGCAAAGTGCTGCCCCAACAAAGCAACTTCTGGAGTCATTGTTGCTCCAGTCAGACGAATGGTATAATCAGCTACAGTACAGAGTCCTGGATTCTGACGACTTTTTTGAGTTCTTTGAAAATGTATGTTTTTTCGTCTCAGAGTTGTATTTTATACTTAAAGCGGTCCACAGTATTTTCTCAGGGTTTAAAAAAATTTGAAGGCGACGAAGAAGGATTGAAAATGTATTGAAATCAAAGTTAATCCGTAAATATATTATACCATATACAGGCTTTTTTATACATATATGTATGTATAGAAAAGATTCCTTTGGCAAAGCTCACTGTTTAAACTCTGACTACTACTGTGCTGAGAGCTTTTCTCCTGTCTCAGTCAGTACACAACTGCTACTACTACCCACCTGGCTGTCTCCTGAGTTGATGATGCCAAAGAACAGTGTGTAAACAGACAGGGCACAATGCACTTACTCTGGGTGCGTCCCAAATGGCACCCTATCCCCTATATAGTGCATAGGGTGCCATTTGCGACGCAGCCTCACTTGGGAGTTGTGCATTGCTCAGGCCTGCGCTAGCATGGCATGATGTGACTCAGCCTTTAAAGGGGCGTCCTAACACCCGCCACTATTCCACCTTGGACTCTCCCATTCCCTGCTCCCACAGGGGTGTTACGTACTGGCCCTCTGTGCCACTGACCTACTCTGGATGGAGTAGCCTAAGTCCCCCTCCCCCCAACCTGGAGAGAGTTGAATGCTGCTGAACCATGTGAGGGTGGGTGGCTGATGGTTGAGCCCACTGACACCCCCAGCGCTGGTATAACAGGGTTGTAATGTAGAAGATGACTCGTTTTTTATGTTTGTTTTCCTGTCCCAGAGGGGACACAAGGATTCAGGATGTAACTTCCTAAAGCAGCGTATTGGTCAGGTGACACTGTCTGTCTGTGTCTACAGCCGGTCTGGCTCCTTCCTTTGGCCAATTCCTTTCCATCCACCGTAACCCTTGGAGACAGACCATTACAACCATAGAAACAGAATTAGTAGCACGTTCTATTAATTCTTATTCTACAATAAGAACAACAATACTCATCGTTGTCTGCAGATAGGTCGTCGGGGTTAGCACTGTAGTAACCCCACAGAATCCCCCCCACCACCTAACCGTTTACTTGTTGCTAAGACAATGAAATGTAAACTTGGTTTCAATATTCAATATATACACAGATTTAGACTAGACTGTGTTTTAGACGGGCCCCTTCATGTACGGCCCCCAACGTAGTAGAAAACAGGTTATTATTATTGGAGTGGGGCATCTACACCCTCTTCCACCGCTTCTTTTCAGAAACAGTAGGCTGGAGTTTTAGTGAGGTGATTCGGTCCAGCAGGCAGCAGGTGACAGCACTTTTCATACAAAGTATAGATTCATGGATGGATGGTATTATCCTGTATTATCCTACAGAGTATGGATGGATGGTATTATCCTGTATTATGCTACAGAGGATGGATGGATGGTATTATCCTGTATTATCCTACAGAGTATGGATGGATGGTATTGTCCTATATTATCCTACAGAGTATGGATGGATGGTATTATCCTATATTATCCAACAGAGTATGGATGGATGGTATTATCCTCCTCAATCAGGGTTTCTTTGCACCATTCCTGAGGACCCACAGGGTTTGCATGTTTTATTCCAGCCCTACACTAAAACACCTTATTCAGCTAATCAAATTGATGATCAGTTGAATAGGGTGTGTTAGTGCTGGGCTAGAACAAAACGTGCATTCCGAACAAAACGTGCATTCCGACGGTGGGTCCCCTGGAATTGGGTTGAGAAATGCTGCTTTGGTGTAGCTGTTGATGAATGTCCTAGTGCTGTCTCCGTACCACCCAGGAACTGCTGCTGCTGCTGTTGTTGTTGTCTGTAGCGTGAAAAGGCCATCAGCACACAAACAGAACACAACGACAACATCATTGAAAAGGATCTCCTCTTCTGTGTTAGCTGCTTTCTCCCTTAGGGAACTGGTTCAAAGCTGTAGTAGTTTGACTGCCGTTTACCTATCTGGTTTTTTATGCACCAACAATAATGTATAATACTGTACTAGAGACCTTTTTTGTTTCTGTGTTAAAAGCCTTCGCAAGCTGTTTTGTAACGCTTCAGCCGCGGCTCATATAACTAGAATGCTGACTCATAATCAGACCGACTGCTTCCTTACTAGCGCTTCTCCGACCGTCGACTGACTGCTTCCACACTGGGAAGTATGGTTCCAATCCAACACCCACCCCACAGACCAGTGCTCTGTCTCACTCCCCTCCCCTGCTTCAGTGTTCCGCCGGCCCGCCTCAGCTCCTTCATTGTTTTGAAGCACAGGCGGGTCAAAGGAAGAAGCTTTAAGGACAAATAATGACGTGCATGTGTTGTGTAATGGAGAGAGCGTTTGTCACTGCTGGCGCTCTGGGCAGAAGAGCGAAAGATCGAGACGGAGAGAGAACGAGAGGGAAACACTGGTGGAGGGGGAGAGAGAGAGAGAGAGAGAGAGAGAGGGAGAGAGAGGACAGTTTGTTCTTTCCTCGTAGTGTTTGCACCCTGTCCACAGTCAACTTAACAGGCAGGCAATCTAAACAGCACCCGTCCCGCTCTCTCGGTCTCCCTCTCGCTGTCCCTCCCTCTGTGTGGCTCACAAACGTAAAGTGCAAACACTTATCTGTTTTCACTGGAGCTAGGATTATTTACTTTCTCTGGTTTTGTTTTATATGCAGAACCAGAGAGAAATTGATTTGATAACACAAATAGTGGGAACTGCATAGCCAGTAGTGAGTTTGTGTTTGTTTTTGTGTCTGTCCGAGTCAATGCTTGTGTGTGCGTGCATTTTTGTCTGTGTCTGTTGAATCACGAGTGTGTATCTGTGTGTGTGTGCAAGCGTTCTTGTGTGTGTGTGTGTGTGTGTGTTCTTGTATCTGTGTGTGTGTGTGTGTGTGTGTGTCTGGGCTAATTGAAGCTAGAATGGTCAGGCCGGCTCCCAAGTGAGCTGATCAGCGTGCAGCTGAAGCCTGGGAGAGACCTTTTGTTCTCTCACTTCCTCCATGGAGAACACTCACAGGGATCTAACCGCTGCTCTCTGGCAACACAGCGGTTGCATCTCAAATGGCATCCTATTCCCTTTTATAGTACCTACAGCCCTGGTCAAAAGGAGTGCACTATGAAGGAAATAGGGTGCCATTTGGGATGCACTCAAGCTATTTATGACCAGCAGGTCACAGAATGTGTTCCTCTCATTAAATTCAATAACATTTCAAAATGTTCAAGTTCCACAGTTCAAACAACTTGCTCCCATGTTGTTTGTTTGCGACTTTCGATCCGTGACTTGTATGAATACACTTATGAATCCATTTCCAGGAGGTAAGGTTTATCCATAACCATAGCTGCTCCTCCTAAGGTTGGGCTAGTTTACTGTTAGTGTCTCTGCAACCGAGTCAAGCTCTGATACTTAGCAGGTTTTGTTTCTGTAGTTGATCTGGCAGCACTTTGCTGCCTCCAAATTCAGCTACATCCCAAATGGCACCCAATTCCCTATTTAGTGTACTACTTTTGACCAGAGCCCATAGGGTTGTGGTCAAAAGTAGTGCACTATGTAGGGAATAGGGTGCCATTTGGGACGTAGACTTGCACAGGCAGCCCAATTCTGATATTTTGTCCATTAATTGGTCTTTTGACCAATCACATCAGAGCTGATCTGATTGGTCAAAAGACCAATTAGTGAAAAGAATATCAGAATCGGGCAGCCTGTAAAGCAGCCTATATGCCTATCCTGTATTTCCTAATGGTCACATGCATCATTTTGATAGTAGTCCATGATCTCTCTTATCAAAGCAGACTCTGACATGGTTCCTCCTCCCTCCACCACGTGCCTGTCTTATTTGT